CCGGGATAGTTATTACTTACTTTTCCAATGCTCTCTCTCGAGATGAGAGGCTGCACGAAGACGGAACTTGTTAAGGGGAACTTTGAATTCTTTTTGGATTTGTTTTCACTCCGTTTATTCTGCTTTGTCTTTGATTTGCTGCAATAATGGTAACTTGGAATATGTAATTTTTTTTTTGTTATTAATGTTATTTTGTTGAGGAAAGAGTTTCGTTTGATATAAATATATTTTTTATTCATTCTCTGTTCTCTCAATTCTCAGGTAGGTAGAGATATAAATAAAAGATTTAAATAATATATATTCTTATATTACTAATCGAATATTGTATTTATCCATTGTTCAACTTAATATATTTCAATGTACTGTGCTGTTGATTCTTTCCTGAAAAATCGAATTAGACGAATATAGAATATCAATTTTTTCACGATAAATAATTCGCGAGAAGGAAATTTCAAAAGTAAAAATTTACCAACACGCGAGCAACGAGAGATTCCACGACCGCAAGAAAAACTCTTTCCAATTCGCACTTACAGCGTCTCGCAATACCCTCTCCCCTCATCCCTGCCATGATTTTTCCACAAGAAGTGTGGTTCTCTGAAACACTTCCGCGAACGGTGAAGTGACGTAAGTATCCTTCAACAATGCGACCACGAGTGCCATTAAATGCACAAATGCATCTCGAGTTTTTTCCGCATCGCGCGTGTTGATCGTAGATAAGCGGCGAAACGAGAAGAAGGAGGAGGAGAAAAAAAAAAAAAGAAAGAAAGAAAGAGAAAGAAAAATATACTTTCGAGGATAAATAGATTTGCACGCAGGCGCGAACGTGTACGTCGGTAAAAATGATTTTCGCTTACGAAACGGATGCTCGCGTCTCCCATTCACGCGACTCGATTAATTACGCTCCTCTTGAATGTCGCGGAGCGTAAAAGCCCGTTTCGAGAGCAGCCATCTCCTTCTCTGTTTCGGTATATCTGGGTATGCAGATTCTGCCTATTCAAAACCTTTGCAAAAACTTTTTTTTTTTTTTTTAACTATTGCATCCGTGGCGCATCCGTTTGAACGGTGAATCGTTTCCATTTTCTAATGGCCGAGATTTTCCGCCCGTAATCGCGCCCGATTCGCCGGGCTCGCCTCGTGTGAAGTGGAATTAATGGGGAAAAATAAACGCGCTCGTTGCTTCGACTGATATCTAGATGTAAAAGGAATGTTTGGAGAAAAAAAAGAAGGATTTTACTTTGAACGTAGGATGGAAGAAATAAAGCGGAGGAAAGAAGAGAAGCGGTCCCCACTCGTTGAATATTATCGTTCATGTTTAGAGTACGTAAAGAAGAAAATCTGGATTTTATCTCGAATGTTTCGTTTTGATATTCGTGGATGGAAGAAAAAAAAGAGAGAAGCGCTCGTTTTTCACTGCTGAATATTATTCGATATTTAGAGTATGTAAAAAAGAAAATCTGGATTTTCTTCACTGCTGAACTGATATTTAGAGTATGCAAATAAGAAAATCTGGATTTTATTTCGAATATTTCGTTTCGTGCAATTGAAGAAAGAAAGAGAAAAGTACTCGTTTTCCACTGCTGAATATTATTCGATATTTAGAGTACGTAAAGAAGAAAATCTAAATTTTCTTCACTGCTGAACCGATATTCAGAATATGCAAAGAAGAATATTTTATCTCAAATGTTTCGTTTTGATATTCGTGGATGGAAGAAAAAAAAAACAGAAACGTTCGTTTTCCATTGTTAAATATTATTCGATTATTTAGAGTACGATTATTTAGAATAAAAAAGAAAATGTGGATTTTCTTCACTGCTGAACCGATATTTAGAGAAAATCTAGATTTTATCTCGAATATTTTTAATATTCGTGGATAGAAAAAAAAAAGAGAAAAGTACTCGTTTTCCACTGCTGAATATTATTCAATATTTAGAATACGTAAAGAAGAAAATCTAAATTTTCTTTTCTTCTTTTCTTCATTGCTAAACCGATATTTAAATTATGCAAAGAAGAAAATCTGGATTTTCTTCACTGCTGAATATTGATATTCAGAGTATATAAAGAAGAAAATCTAAATTTTCTTCATTGCTAAACCGATATTTAAAGTATATAAAGAAGAAAATCTAAATTTTCTTCATTGCTAAACCGATATTTAAATTATGCAAAGAAGAAAATCTGGATTTTCTTCACTACCAAATCGATATTTAAATTATGCAAAGAAGAAAATCTAAATTTTCTTCATTGCTAAACTCCACTGCTGAATATTATCCAATACTTAGAATATGCAAAGAAGAAAAATCGGGATTTTATCTCGAACGTTTGGTTTCGTGCAATTGAAGAAAGAAAAGGGGGAAGAGGAGGATGAAAAAGTGGATCGAAAGAGAAAAGCGCTCGTTCTTCACTCGTTGAACCCGTATTTGGCGTAAAGAAGAAAAAAAATTTTATCCAGAATTTCGATTCGTGCAACGATTCTACAACGAAAGAAAGCGGATAAAAAAAGGAGAAGCATTCTTCACTTCTGAATATCCGATATTTAAGAAGAAAATCGGGATTTTATCTCGAATGTTTCGTTTCGTGCAACGATGCCCGTGGAATGGAAGAAAGAAAGAAAGAAAACGGGAGAAAAGGGCGATCGAAAGAGAAAAACGTTCGTCGAATATTTGGAAAAGAAGGAAGAGATTTTTATTTTTATTTTTATTTTTAGTTTCGTGGAAGGAAGAAAGCAGAGGTAATGAGAGAAAAGGGAGAAAGAGAGAGAGAAGATTCAAAAAAAATTTTATCGTCTGTGTGGAGAGAAAAACTTCTTCTTCGATTCGATAGGCAGTAAAATGTTCAAATAAATAAGAAGAACGAATTGTTTGCGATGGATATTATTTTTATCAACGGAACAAATGTGCCTCAATGTACTTTCCTGCGTGTGGAACGATGCATTATGGATTTCCAATAGCGCGTAGTTTATCAGCCTTTAACGTAGCCTGTTTTTAACGTTCTATAAATCGCGTAACATGCATATTATTAGGTTAGATAATGTGCGATAAATTATAGTAACAGGATATTGCTCGGTAACAAGATAAAACAACATTTACGATTTTAAAAAAAATATATAAAAAATATAACGAAATATTGTTTCTTGCGATGCAAAATGCATGATGATTTTATTTATCTCCTTTCTTTTTTTTTTTTTTAATTAAATTCAGAGATCGAAAAATAAGAGATCGATAAAACGAATTGAATTGTTTCAATTTTAAAAAAAATTGAATCAATTTTCACTAAAACAACATTTATTATGAATTTGAAAAAATATAAAATATAACAAATATTGTTTCTTGCGATGCAAAATGCATGATAATTTTTACTTAAATTCAGAGATCGAAAAATAAAAAACGACTACGTTATAAAAACTATTCGTAAAACGAATTGAATTATCAATTTTCACTAAAACAACATTTATTACGAATTTGAAAAAATATAAAATATAACGAAATATTGTTTCTTGCGATGCAAAATGCATGATAATTTTATTTATCTCCTTTCTTTTTTTTTTTAATTAAATTCAGAGATCGTAAAACGAATTGAATTATCAATTTTCAAAACATTAAAATATTTACGAATTTGAAAAAATATGAAATATTGTTTCATGCGATGAAAAACACATGATAATTTTTACTTAAATTCAGAGAAAAATAAGAAATCGTAAAACGAATTGAATTACCAATTTTCAAAACAATATTTACGAATTTGAAAAAATATAAAATATAACAAATATTGTTTCTTGCGAAAAACGCATAATAATTTTTATTTAAATTCAAAGATCGAAAAATAAAAGATGACTACTTTATAGAAACTATTCAATCGTAAAAGGAATTAAATTATTAATTTTCACTAAAACAATATTTATTATGAATTTGAAAAAATATAAAATACTGTTTCTTGCGATGAAAAATCTATGATAATTTTATTTATCTCCTTTTTTTTTTTTTAATTAAATTCAGAGATTGAAAAATAAGAAACGACTATGTTATAGAAACTATTCGTAAAACTGAATTAAATTAAATTGAATTATCAATTTTAATTAAAGCAACATTTATTAAGAATTTGAAAAAATATAAAATATAACCAAATATTGTTTCTTGCGATGAAAAACGCATGATAATTTTTACTTAAATTCAAAGATCGAAAAATAAAAGACGACTACGTTATAGAAACTATTCGATAAAATTGAATTATCATCAATCATTATCATTTTCTTCTAATACAACATGTCTTCTTCATCCACAGTATCTTAGCACGATTGCATAACCAGTAATTCAAACGTTACCTCCTCTACAGAATCTCCATACCCTACACATGACGCGGCGATGAAGGTAGCCGCATTGTTGGCGAAATTGTGGTTCCTTCCACCCTATATACTCGAATGCCCAGGAGCGCGTTAACCCTTTCTAAACTCATTCACCAAAGGGTGGAAAAAAACGGTTTCGGCACCTTTGTGCATCCTCCCTCGTGTTCAAAGTGAACTTGACTCGTGATTCAACGAGATAACTTAAGAGACATTAACTTTACTCCTAGAGAAGAAAATTAGGATTTAACAATCTAAAAGATTAACGAACGAAATATCCGTGTACTTTTAAAACTTAAATTTTGATTATTGAATCTTTGAAAAAAAACATTTTAATATAATTATTTTTGGAAAATCAATTTTAGAAATCGAATCGAAAATGTAAAAAAAAAAAAAATTGGTGTAGAAAATTTTTTGAAATTCGCATTTTAAATCAACAGATTCTTAAAAATTAATTTACGAATGTATCAATATCTCGTGAGGTGTCAAAATCTCGTCAAATTATTTAATTACGTTGCAATCATATTTGAATGGAAAAAGAACGTTATTTCGATGGAATCGTGTTTTAAAGAACGTTTTGCTTGCACGTTTTCGAATGATAACGTATAACGTTAAACTTAAGATTAAAATGAAATGAGGCGAATTATGGTGGAAGTTTATCGCGGCACGTTATTGCATTAATAAACGCTTCAAACCGGTAACCGGCACTTTGTAACGTGTATGCTTCTATGGTTGCACCTTAATCCATGTCTGGGTTATGCCGAAGACCTTCAATCGCAATTAAGCTTTATGGGGAAGGCTGATACACGCATGCAAAGCGTTCGTTTCACCCGGAACTTCACTGCCAGTTTCTTGTGCACCATCTTCCATATCGATGCTCTACCAAACGTTTACTTCGATGTTATACGTTTGATTTTAAACAAACGAAAACTGGAAAACTTCGTTCGAGCGATAAAAATAATTTCTTGTACGTAATTAAGTGTGATATTTCTTAAATTGGTGACATTTTTTTAAGTAATTAGAAAAGAAAAAGAAGAATTGTTAAATCTGATGAATAAATATGATGAATTATTGGATAAATCGTGGGCGATCAAATTTTTCGAATCCGCATGTCCAAACATAACCTCTTAAAAAACATCGAAACGATATACGTGTACGTTATATTTTTTAAATTGGAAAAATTTTCAAGTAATTGGGAAAAAAGAATAAATAAAATAACTGTTAGATGTTATTATGTACATACGTATGTATAATAATAATGATCGTTCTTCGAATCCATAATGATTCGCAAATTCGTAACTTAACCTAACCTCTCGAAAGACATCGCGCGATGTGTATTATTCTTAAACGTACGTACGTAATATTTCTTAAATTAGAAAAAAAAAATGTTAAATAATTGGAAAAGAAAGGAAGACAATGAATAAATAGAAAGAAAAAATTATTAAACAAACCTGTGGGCGATCGTTTTCCGCAACCATGGTCGGCGATGCATCGTTATCGTTATCGGTTGCAATACACGTCCATCCCACGATCTCTCCCGTTTTCGGTATAGAAAGGGAGAGAGGCGTGGCCAACGCACGATAACGCGTCAAGTTTACGCCGCGTTAATTTATCGATAACTGGCGGTGAATCAACAACGATGGATAAAGTCGTCGTTGGACCCGTTCAAGGTGCATTTACAGATGTCGATAAGTGGTCAGACTGGTCGTAGACGCGGTAACATGGGTGGACACCTTGACGTTGATCGAGTTACGTGGAAACGTTTTCCACTTTGCCGTTTCTCCTCCCTACTTTGATACAATTAGCTCTTGGTTATACGGAATTGAGATCTAGAAACAAGCGATTACGAGGACTCCTGGAGTTAAAGGTGGATCTCTCGTGCGGAGGGTTAATTTCGTACCAGTTAAAGTGTCGTTGACCTGGCGCTGTTTTGCGCGGAACAAGAGTATCTTTCTATGTGTTTAGGGAGAAGTGTACTCTCTCTCTCTGGGAAGCGTGACATTTGCGTTTCTTTCTTTTCTGAAATATAAATTTGTGAATATCTAGAAGGAAAAAACTTGATATCTAAGGGAATTTAAGAATTTTGAAAAATCAATTATTAAGTTAAAAAATAAAAATTTCAAGATGAATTTTAAATTAATGTTTTCGAAATTAATAATTCAAATAATTCGAATTGCAACAATCTCTTTTTAACGCAATTAAAAATTAACGAACAATAATTTTCTGAGAAGAATATTCGACGAGAAATTTGCTCTCGCAAAAAACATTCTAGTTTAAGAAACGCAGAATTGAACCTAACCTAACTCCAACACTTTGTAACCGACCGCAAAGAAAGCGCGCTTAATTCCGGAAAGCACTCGAATATTTCATCTCCAAAACTCTCGAAAAACTCATCAACATCCACCAGAGCTTAACCACACTCAACTCTTTTCCTGAAATGTATCCTTCGTAATTATCACGACTCGCCAATGGCGAGTTTACCGTATTCTCCCGATCGATGGCGCAATAATCGCGATAGTCGCAATAAACGAAGCTATAAAATAGCTCGAGAACGTCCCAGTAGTCCTTTATTGTTTCTTTTTCTTTTTATTTATTTTTTTCATTATATTAGAATATGATATATCTCTCCTCTGATGACATTTTATCGACCAACGATCATCAATGCTGAAAAAAGTTGTAATATCAGATCCAAAAAATTAAACAAAATAATATTTTCAAACAGTGTTTATTTGTACAGGATAATATATTTAAAGAATATTTTGAAGATAGATATTAAACTAAGGTTCAAAACAAATACGAAAGTACGTAAAAATATTAAGGCTTATTTATCAAGCTGTGTGTGCAATTATATTAGGTTAGGTTAGAAAGTTCGTGAAAGGAAACGAAGATAAAGCGAGATAGTTCTATCTTCATTCAACTTATTAAATTAATAAACCTCAATATTCCCGTACATCGACTTATATTTTCTCTTAAAATCAACGTTCCAAAAGTTAGTTCCAAATTATTCCACGAATATAGAGAGCCCGGTACATAAATATTTCGCTTTTCCATTGTTCCACACTTATTCGAAACTTTCTGTCTGACAATCGGCCGCGAATCTCTCGGCGGAAACGAGGATCTGTGAACGTTCGTTCCATCACGGAAACCAAGTCCGGTTCGCGAGAAGATTAAATTTGTCGTGGACTCGTTCCACCGCGTTGACGGTCGGTTGATGGTCGTTGGAAGAGTTTCGCGACCAGTCCCGACAGGCGTGTATCTCCGCGAGGTCGACGTCTCCGCACTCACCATGACGAATGTTACCCGATATCTCGCGCCACTGTCCGCCGGGATTCTTCTCCGTCTTGTCTCCCGCTTTTTCGCAGTACCACTCTCGTTTCGCGTACCTTTCACGGTCCGCGTCTCCTTTTCCGGCACTCGAGCTTTTTAGTCTCCGCCTTTCGCTTTCCGCTTCTTTGCCTCTCTTCTTCTTTGCCTACGTTTATTCCAAAGTGGAAACGGATGATTCGATTGACGGTTGGTAAGATAGGGATTGGATGGAATAGGGATATGTGTTATATTCTATGAAATTATTGAGAATTTGCTATCGCAATTTTTTTGAATCGATAAATCATTATCGATCTTGAGTGAAGTGAATCCATTCGAGAGAAAAATTGTTTAGAGTTAATTCTTAAAAGTAGAATGTTTTAAATGGAAAAAAAATGTTTTTGCTCTCGTCTAGAAAAATTTTGAACGAAGATCGATCGAATTGTTATCGATTTGAAAAATTTTGAAGAATAAAAGAGAATCGCTCTCGTAATATATTCTTTCGCGAGTATATGTCGTTTTTAAACGACAATTGCACGATTAGCTTTTTTATTCATACGATTCGTATGAAACTTAAGACCCGACGATTGACAAGAGTACAACAGTAACAATTCGATATCCACGTGTAACGCAATGCTGTAATGCACGTTTCTTACGTCTCGTTCATCTTGTTTAAATGAAACAA